CACAGAAGTCCTAAGTACTTTGTACAATTACTTGTTTATATCACGTTGATTCAGTAAAGAACTTTGATGCTACTACACCGAGACAACCGCTTGGTCTCGAATCAACAACCCTTGTGTTTTATAAGTTTGGGCTGTTCTGCTGAATATGATTTATTGACAGCTCTACTGCTCTCAGCTCTATGAATGTGGCCCGTATTGGTTATCTTTTGGGATAGACTCTACATTTAGTGGACTCCACCTGTACTGGTTTAGCGTATGAAGCTATGGAAAAACTGCATAGCACTGGTGACCTGTGAACATTTACCAGCTATGCAACCCTGAGGTATTAAAGAAACCAGTCTTTGCTTGTACATTTTCAGCATAGTACGGGATATTGTACTGTGCCTGACTCCTTATTGACCGATGCTAATGGAGAACATGCCTCCTCCCTCCCCTCCCTAGGGCCTGCCACGGTAGTCATGTCCTCAGAGGCATCGTCCCCGGTGGCCCCCCCCGCCACATCGCCCACCTCCCCAGCCTCGCCGACATCCCCCGGCTCCCTGGACCTGCCCTCATGCCGGCAACGGGGGCGTGACCGCTCCCCCTCCCCCATGCGGGACTACCTTATCCCCAGCCCGCTCCCCACACGTCGCACACGTACCTGCTCGGCGTGAGTATCCTCGCTATCCCGACCAATCATAACTGTTGTTAGTGGGTTTAAGCCAATGGAAGCCAAGAGCCAGGAGGATGTGGGCAGAATCAGATGGTAATTGACAGCACATGATAGCCCAAACCTCTCCTTTGGATGTGGTTGAACTCTCATCCTCGGCCTAAAGTGCTTATAAAAGATATAGGGCTGTGAAAGTTAACACATCAGTCTATTAGCATATCCAAGTCATAATGTCAACTGTTAATACGTTAATTTTGACATCCTAATGGGAGACTAGTATAAGCAAAGAATCTTAATAGGGCCATCACACGATTAATTTTTAATCACAATTAATTGCACACCTTTGCGATTAATCATACAATTAATCGCCTACCTTGGGGACTAATGGCATACAGAATCATGTTACAATACAATCAAAAAAGATTTTACAGTCTGCATGCTCAGTATAGAAATTGAATTCTATAAAAAAAAAAAATCTTTACTCATACTATTCTCCCCTTGGGGCAGTAAAATTAGTAGACAATCAAATAACAAAGCTTTGAGATTAACGCTCATATGTTAATGAGTTAACTTTGACAGCCCTAAAATGATGGATGAAACATGTGCTCTTTTTCACCTGGGACATCCTCATCCTCTGGTTCCTGATGGCCAGCTTCTTTGTCTCCAGATATTTCCACGTTGGACTTTTCTTGTCTCCAGTTTCACGTCTCTGGTGTCTGTGGGATTTGAAGCCTTAGGGGAGAGAGTATCTCACCTGCCGTCCTTGTGAGGGCCTCCCCTTTGTGTCTGTTTGGGGTCCCACCTGGCGAGGAGGCTCAGCATGTACCGCTGTCATTTCCCTAGTAAAACACTCGTAATACCTATAATACTGATTAAAAAATATTGAAAAAAGGGAACTGTCGAGTATTAGGGTTTCAAATCCCCCAAGTGCTGTCTGTATGGAATTTGCATGCTCTTTCTCTAATGTGAGACCTTCCTGTAGACTCTTGCCCTTTTGCATATGATTGTGCATGTCCTGTAGTGAGTTAGCGCCCCAAGCAAGGGGTCCCCCAGGCTTTGCAGTGCTTCCAGGGTAGGGTCCAAGCAACCCCTGTACTTCTGATCAGGAAAGCAGTCAGAAGACCGAGAGATGCATGAATAAATCCTAACTCTAGTTGAATAGACCCCAAAACCAGATGAAGATCATTTAGATAAGAGAAGCTTTAGCTGTGGATACGAGGGCTAAGCCCCCAGCAAGGTGCCGTCTGTCCCTGTGACACAACCGATCTGTGAGCTGTTGCCGCCTCGCCCTGCAGCACGGCGCGGGCCGCGGCGGGACCCATGTTCACCGGCGTGTGCAAGTGCTTCTCGCGCTCCAAAGGACACGGCTTCATCACGCCAGCCGACGGTGGCAGCGACATCTTCGTGCACATCTCAGAGTGAGTCCCCCTCTCCCCCAAATGCCTCTGGGTTCATGCGCATCCAGGGAGACAAGGAAACCGCTGGGAAAAACCGTCGATATATCGTTAATTACATTCCTTTATTTATTAACACACTTTTATCCAAAGCAACATACAACTAGGTGAGCAGCGTTAGACTGTCTCTGGGGCTTTAGGGGTTAAGGACTTTGCTCAAGAGCCCAATCGTAAAATCACCCTGCCAATCCTGGCATTTGAACCTCCAACCTAATTGCAGGCAGAGTCCCCAAAAGGGGTCTCGACCCAGATAGGACTCAAACTGACAATCCCTGGCTTAGGAGGCCAGTACCTTATCTATTAGGCTGGTAGGGCTGCCTTCATTTCCCTCGTATAATATAAACTGAGGGCCCTGGTTCTTGTGGTTCCAGTGTGAATCCTGTGGCTCACTGAGTGTGTTTTTCCGAGCTGTGTGTGCAGCGGTGGTGTTAACCACCTTTCAAACTGCATTTGTGTGGGACCTGGAGGTTTGGGGCCCCCTGTTGGCAACAAAGTCACCCCACTAAATATTTTAAAAACACATTTTATAATTATCACTGACGTTTTGTAGAAGCATGTCCTGCTAATCATCTAGCCTGCTATAATCCCCTGACTGTACTCAGTGTTTGTTTAGTTTTGGAAACTATCTGGGGGTTAGGGTTGTTGGGCCCCAAAAACAACACGTCCTCCCCTGTCTGTGACTATGGGGGGAGGCTGCGATAACAGCTATACAGTGAAGCACAGTGAGAAATGCCAATATTCATTATCGCTGCATCTTAGCTCTGAATTTCCAGTCTTGACCTGAGCTAAACCAGTGGAAATTTGAGCTTGCTGCTGCAGACCAGGGCAGCTGCTATTTCCTTGCGATGTGGGTGAAAGATCCGGCCATGTTACATTTTTCTGGATTTAATTACAGGCGTCGTTAGCCACTGTGACTCATGTTGGGCATCCAGGCCTCATTCACCACACACACACACATTTAGTGTGTGTCATTCATGGACTGCATTTTAAATTGCCTTTTGTTTCCTTAAAGGAACCTTTATTAATTGCATGAGTATGAAGTTTGCCTTTTGTTTTGGGACTTTTTAATCCCAGTCATATTTGTACAGGATTGCTTTGAAGTTGATGTGCATGTATTGAGACCCTTTGATTCCATAATCTTTCGATCGCCATGGTGACCGACCGGGACAGCAGATGTGTCCTCAGAGGGAGATCTTAAGCACTTTGTTTAGCCTGGGGAGGGAGGCGGTCCACCGCATTAGCCGTCACGATCGTCTGTGGGACCCGTCGTCACCAATTCCGCGATGTCTCCCCCACAGCATCGAGGGCGAGTATGTGCCAGTAGAGGGTGATGAGGTCAGCTACAAGGTCTGCTCCATCCCACCCAAGCTCCAGAAGGTCCAGGCTGTGGAGGTCACCATCACTCACCTGGCCCCTGGCACCAAGCATGAGACGTGGTCCGGCATGGTGCTGAACTCGTAAGGGAGTCGACGGGCAGCCACACGCCGGCATTGAGTCATTTGTGGTGCCGGGCTGGTAGGGTCAGGTCAGGTGGTGAATATATCTTCAAGATGCCTTTTTTTGTATGGGGGGGGGGTGTTGATAACAGGGACAAGAATATAAGAATATGTCTTACAAAGCATTCCTATCTAATAAAGTCTTCGCTTGAACTATTAAAAAAGCATATTATTGGAAGAACTTTATCTGTGTTGGCTGACTCGTCATTGCAGTCCTGGTGACAGTCTGTGTTTATGGGATGGACATGTTTGAAATGGTGACGGTGACACTGGAGCAGCGGTGACACAGCAGTAGGAGCGGGAGCTGCAGTCACTGCGTTTTTTGCATTTGAGTACATGGGAGGAGCTATTTTTTTTTTTGCATTGCAGGAAACCAGTCGGGCATGTTGAAGGTCGGTGTCTAAGCAGATGCAGACATTGTTTTTGAGAAACAACTTATTTTTTGCGACGAATGTTTGGATCTAATTACAGTTGTTTTCCCTAAAGCCACAGTTGCAACAGTTCTCAGAAGCTGACTAATTTAAGCTCTGTTTTGAGTGGGAAAAATAATAGCAAAATTAGCCTTTGATGGGAATGTGGCCCAGCCAGCTGAAGTTTTTTTCTGTTAAAAATGTATCACTTGAGTTTGGGGGGGGGGTTGTGTTATGCTGATTGCTCAACCTTGACTGATGACAGGATGACGCTTTAGTGTGTCGTTACTCCTGCAGGCAGAGTATTGTGTTAGAGAATATGGAGGTTTAATGATGATTCAGTATGACTGTTTTTTAATTATCACCCTGCTGCCATCAAATATCTCCCCACCTTAGAAGTTTCTCAAGGCAAAGTGACTTTACAATAAAGATCCCCAATTACAGCACCATGGCAACAGCCCTCAAGGGACAAGTGACACGGGGACGAGATGAACGCAGGTGTCACTTAAGAAACATGGTAATTAGTGCATCAAACCACAAACATCACGAAGCTGTTCTCCAGACGTGCTTTAACCAAAGCACAGCTAACATGTGCGTTTACTTCTGTATGTATGGAGTCTTACCACAAGTGTTACATAAAGCCTTTGTATGGTAAAATGCATTACTGGAGTTGCGTGCCAAATAATTTCCAATGACTGCTCGTAAAAATCAACTAAAATACACTAATGAGACTCAGACTGCATACAGCTATGACGGCGTGAATAACTGTAGACGTAGACCAGTTATGAAATTGCAGTGGTGAAAGCATTCCTGGCACTGTGACTCACATTAGGGTTACATGCGGTTCCTGATAATTGGTTTGCATTATCAACACCATCTTCCCATGACCAAACGACGTTGTCCTCAGCAGCGCAAGTCTACCTTCAGGGTCTCGAGAGTCCGCTCCGTTTACCTCGTCTCTGTGAAAGCACTTCCCCCATGAGTCTGGTTGTCAAGGTTCCAATTTGTGGATTTATTTTTTTCCCCCCAGTCTTGTTACGAATGTTTTTTGTTAAGGATATAAGAACCTCTGACACGGAAACCAATAAAATTGCCATAAAGATATTAACCCTGAACATCTTCAGTGGTCCCATGCAGCAAAGACTATCATCAGCCACTTTTTCCCCACCATAGATTTAATGTTAAGACTCAAAACATTCTTTAAAAAAAAAAAAAAAAAAAAATACAAATACAAATTTTAAACAAATTAATGCAAATGTTATTTACAGATATTCACAACGATGGTGACAGAAATTAAAAGGTCTTTTAGAATACATAGTCGTTAGACAACAATTAGACCAGACTTGTAATTACATCTAAACTAGCAATTCTTACATTACCATATAACAAAGCGTTTCTCATGTTAAATTGCAAACATCCTTTTACAGTAGATTTACTTGAAACATCTAATGCTTTTAATTCCTGGAAATAAAATTACAACTCTAGTACAGAGAGAGAGATTTTAAAATGGCTGCAGCTTCAGGATGTGGTCACGACTTCTAAAAATGTTTAACATTCAAAACGTTTTAAACACGAGACCATTAACGCTTAAAACGGGTTTGGCTGCATCACAAAAATAAGTCGTTATTGACACGGTGTAAGACGGGTTCCACAAGTTACTTTAATTTGGGACTGAGACTGAGCTAACTGTCCCATAACTAGGACTAAAATCGACCAGAGGTGCACAGTTCTTCTGTATGAACTGTAGAAGGTTAGGAGGACATCTGTGTTTAGGTTCATAATGGGACTACAATGGCTGAACTCAGTTTCTTGATCAATGCAGATTCTCTCCTCTGAATATGTACAACCAACTAAACGAGGCAGAAACTGCCAAAAACCGTAGATATCTACCGAAGGTCAAGACCGGCACACCGCAGCAAGGTAAAGTGCGATCGACATGATGTAAAAATGGTGATTCACAGACTCTAGGTGCGTTCTGAGCATGGAGCCGCTCTGTCTTGCTCTGCCTGGAAGTTTAGCACCTGGGTCGGGAATAACGGGCGGCGCCGGACTCACTTTAGCGGGGAATCGCTAAAGTGCCCGGCCACGCGGCAGCCGGCTTGGAAAGGCCTAGGATTCAGGCACGTTGCAGCTGACACTAAGAGAAGGAGCACGTCTGCAGAATAAAAGGAGCCACACTGGGGAAATAAATGGCACTCGTGCCCATATGGTCACAGAGGAGCACGAACGGACCCTGACTTCTATCAAAAACATCTCCAGGTTCCTTCATTGAGCCATTTCTCCTCCTCTCACTGACTCTGTTCCTCACACCAATATAAATAATTTAAAAGTACTGTGTGTCGTGTGGCACAGTACTTTCAAAGCCGTTTACCTTCTAGGAGCACAAACCCCTGCCACTTTTTTAAAATCCAATTTTATATATAATTCTTTTAAAAAACAGGGCAAAAGTGTGGTTAGTGTTTCTGTAAACTACTGTCAAGATAAGACCATTTACTTAAGGAATGAGTATTGTGCGTGACATCATAAGCATTGCTGTTTGATAGTATTAATTAGTACATCAAATCGCCCGCTAGTATCTAGTGCTACGAGCTAAATGCCCAGGTTCGTGTGAACTTGTTCAAAGGTTATACATTTATACAGAGCACCAAGACTCGAAACTGTCCATTGGGCAGCCACTTCATAAAGTTTAAGGAAACGGTTCAGCAAGGTCTCATGTCACTGCCTTCATCCACCACACCATCCATCTTCTACACCCTTGTGTCCTACCAATGCTTAAAAATTAATTACAAGTCCTTTCAGTGTCACGCCACTTGCAAGGATGAATAACAGGCTTCGTTAACGTCTCATTACATTAGTTTAAAATCAGACAATGGGATGCACACAATGTTTTATGACGTCTGAAAACAGATGCCAGCCTCCGCCCCACCTAGTGGAGACCTAGAGTACTGCTAGATTAACGGTCACAAAGTTAGCGTCTGAAATGTTGTTGTGACATCCACATACTCTGACTGTACTCCCACCTCTGCAAATACAAACCCGACTTTGCAGGACTGCATGATTATCCCTGTAACACTACTGCCAGCAGACGTGATCACATTTTGGAAAATAATTAATTGCATGAGACATGAAATAGCTATCTAAATGAGAAATTGTGCTCTTGCTAATGAGGGTATAAGAACTGATTTTGTGCAATTCTTAATATCTATACATGTTACTGAAAGAATGAATGTGGGTGGAACTTCTGTTAAAGAACATGTGTGATTGGCTCATTCACATTATATCACTATGGATTACTCCCCCGATTGGTTTGACTCTGTGCTTCTCCCAGGATGGCCAGCCCCCCACCCCTCCGCCACTAGCCTATTTGTGCTCGGCCAGCACGTCGTTGAAGATGTTGAGGAAGAGGTGGACGTGGTACTCCTTGAAGACCAGAGAGGGCCGGAACCGAATGGACTTGTCGCCACATCCGCCCAAGATGACCCCTGTGCATCAGAGCAGAGGATCGGCTCATCAGACCACTGCCATATAATCAGTCACATTCAAAAACATAAACACCACATTTACCCCGATAAGCCAAAACATTATGACTGCGCCCATGTGAAGCAAAAATCATGTCTCGTAAAAAGGTGCGCATATATTACATGGTAAGTTAATGTTCGGTGCTCGTAGTCGACATGTGGAATGCAGACGAAATGGGTGGGGATAAAATCTGAGTGACTTTGACCAGACGACTGGGTCTGAGGATCTCCAATACAGCAAGGCTTGTGGGGCTCCCAGTCAGGTGAGGCGAGTGCCTACTGGGAGAACACCGAGGAGGAAAGAAGTGCCAGCAGCCATAACACTGGCAGTTCAGACTAGGTGATTCCCCTGAAGCTAAGCTGGTTTGGGCCTGGCCAGTACTTGGATGGGAGACCAACTACGTTGCTGCTGGAAGAGGTGTTGGTGGGGCCAGCAGGAGGAGCCCATCCTGTGGGCTGTGTGGATCCCAGTACGGTGATAAGGACATTGTGCTGTAAAAATGGTGCTGTCCTTCGGCTGAGGTGTAAAAACCGTGATCCTGACTCTGAGATCCCTGGGCATCTTTCGAAAGAGTAGGAGTGGTACCCTGGTGTCCCAGTCATATCTTAGCTACTGTGTGGTGAGCATACTGGTGCAGAATGGCTGCCGTTGTATCATCCAGGTGGGGGCTACGTGGTGGTGGTTCAAGTTGCTTCTATAAAGCACTATGGGTGTCTAACATGCTGTGGCACAAACGGAAGATAATTTTGATGGTCTTGGAAGTAGCGTGTCAACATAGTACTCCCAGGGATCGATCCCTGCTCAGTACAGTACAGTGTCATCATATTTTGGCTCATAGGTGTATAAACAGCTCAACTAACTCGCATCAAATGAAGATCATGTGTTTAAACGGAATTACTAAAATAAAATAATCAGTAAAATCACATTGATGCTTTAAAGTTATAGTTGGTTTGTGTTTTAAGTACTGGTTTGTGGTCTGAACTTTCTGAAGTAGGAAGTTACACCACCTCCTACTGGTGTAAGGTCAGCATCGCACCCAGCCACCTACCTTTGTCCCTGACCTTCTGGATCAGGGCGTCTCGCGTTTTGTCATCACAGGCGTCGATGGCACAGAAGGTGCCCAAGCCTCTGGCAGCGTTCAGGAGGTGGGGGTACTGGGTCTGGGTGGAAGGGGGTGGAGAGGCAAAGCCCTGTTAGATGCTCAACTGCTAAATGAGCGGCTCGGCTCGGCTGGCCGTTCACTACCTGGAGCTCGATGAGGCCGTGCAGTAGGGCCGCCCCCGAGCGCGTGACCTCGCCCAGCAGCCGCTCCGTCTTGATCACGTTCAGCACCGCGGATAGGAAGACGTTCTTGGAAGGGTCTCCCATCCAGGTGTTGAAGATACGGTACGGCTGTGAGGAACACAGCAAAGATTTTAAACACAGCTTATGAGCCCCCCCTCAGAACCGCAGTAACAGCCCCTCCCATCTCGCTATAAAACACCGCGGTTAATTATACCTGGATGTGGGTCGAAGCTTCGCTATTTACTCCTATTTAAGTGGTCAAATTCTACGGCAGAAAAGAACATATATACTGTAGATGTTCAAGTACCTTATCAGGCATGAGCTCATCTCGGAAGAAAAAGCCCCCAGTCAGCATTTTCTTGCTGAAGGAGACGACGTCCACGGGCTCGTCCAGATCCCAGTGCTCGTGCGCCCAGAACTTTCCGGTAGGACCGCACCCGGTCTGGACCTCATCCACTTGGAAAGCACAGCCATGCTGCCAAGGATCAGATTGGAGAATCCCAAGATACATCATTAAGAAGCTGATCTGTAGCTATGACACAGGAGCCACCAAGAGGCGTAAAGAGGGGCGGGGCCAGAGGGGCACTGGACCCAGCTGATTGGTCCACAGCATACCCATTCCCTTGTCACTCAAAAATTCATATAAAAGTGTGTATTATTATTATTATTATTATTATTATTATTATTATTATTATAGAATTTCTCCTGCACCCCACCTTGCGTGCAATGTTCCTCAGCTTCTTGAAGAAGTCTGGAGAGGCGTGGTTGTCCCCCCCCTCAGCCTGGATTGGCTCGATCACAATTCCCGCCACGGTCTTGCCCTTCTGCCTCCACTTCACGATGAGGTCCTCCACCTGCGGGGGGGGGGGGGTGCATGCTGTCAGACCTGCCCGAAGCCTCCGCGTTTACCCTGTGGAGTCGCTGTTAAAATATCCCTTAAGAGAGCGAGGGAGCTGAAGAGTAGCGGCAGAGGAGGGAGTGCGTGGGGGAGCGAGAGGGCAGGGCGGACCTCCTCCAGGCAGCGCGCCTCCTCCTGGCCGTTCTCCCGCACGAACTCCTCCAGCGGGTACCGCAGCTTAGGGAAGGGGGCGATGGGCCAGTCAAAGGAGGGCACGTCCAGCTTGTGGATGGCCTTGGAGTGCGTGGTGGCCAGGCAGCCTGGGGGCAGGAGAAACATCCCGCTATGCACCGCACTTCTAGCGAGATGACTTGGCTACCCGAGAGGAGCACCGAGCCTCCACCCAGCTCTGCATTAAACATCAAAAACAGCTGGAAAAAAACCAGGAACGTTCCTGAAATCAGCTCCTGGCCCACAAACGACATTCCAAAGCCCCCTTAGCAGGGCAATTCCGGGACGATGTTGACGTGACATCACCTACCCATAGTCCTTCCGTGGAAACCGCCCATGAAAGACAGGATGCTGAGGTCGGGGCAGCCCGGGCCCTGAGGGAGGGACCCAGAACAAGGGGGACGGTCCAATCAGCTTTAAACTCATCGCAAAACAAACAATCCAGTCATATTTGAAGAAACACAGAACAAACTAGAGCTGGAACATGTTCCCGCAGAGGTCGCCCCGCCTGAGCTGGCTGAATCTGGCTTGGAGGGGATGTTTTTTTACCTGGTTGACCATGCATGAGGTCATCTCCTCCTGTGTCGGTGTTTTGTGTCCCCGCTCCTTGTTCTGGGAATTAAAACAGTCATCTGAGGATACAGTGCGTCATTACCTTGGCAATCCACACGTTCTAAAAGCCGTAACGTTAGTAATATGGGCTCAGTTACGATTTGAACGCAAAAACTATGACAATTTCCGAGACCACAGATTGAAAATGATTCGGGGCCATGAGGAATAGATGTTAACGACGGTTGGACCCTCTTGTATTCTGCACACAATCAGGAGTGACGAGGACAGCAATCTGCGCCCGTTTCTCACAACGTTTCTGGGGCCCATCACTCACCCTGTGCCAGATGAATATGGACTTGAAGGCGTTCTCGTTGGAGCAGGAGCCGCAGGACATGGTCTGCACATGTCTCATGCCCCTGGGGGCCACCTTGAAGAGTAAGAAACCTTACATTACTGACCCACTAGGGGGCAGCAGAGGGAGCAGTAGTTAGAATTTGGAACTGCATCTAAATATTACCATCTGAAACCCCAGGAAGAGAATCTTGGCTGTAGCCCAGAGTGCAGTTAACTAAAATATTTATTTTTCGATTATTTTCTATTTGAATGCCTCGAGGAATACAGCTGCAAACAGCGCCAGTCTGGTTAAAATATATTCACTCATGATAGGGCAGACGAATAAATTAAGTGACATCATTGCCAACAAGCAGTCAGGAAAAGTTCAGGTTGTTGGAAAGTGGTGGCAGCTCCCTGACGCAGATGAAATAATCAGATGTGGAGCTTTTGCGCTACACTGGATGTCATGTGGCCACTGGTAAACAGTCCAGTTGAAGCTCAAGCAAAACGTGTCGAGGATATGAAGGTATATTTTCAGGACCCAGATAACCACACTGGGTCTCCAGCCTTCCATTTTAAAAACCACCGACAGCATATGGACCCAAGAAGGCACAAAGGTCCTGACCGCACTCACCGAAAGCAGGCTCTCATTCAGCCGATCCGGAAAGTTCTCCGGCGGTAGGATCCCAAGGGCTGGCCGATTCACAAACGTGCTCTGAAAAGCAATAGGGAAAAAAAATAATTAACCACTCAGACACGCAATTGCATTTAATTTAATTGTTTTATGCAGAACCAGGTGAGGAAGGATAAGCAGTAAAACCTCATGCCAACACTGGTACGTTCAGATAAGGTCACACAGCTATGAAACGGCTGCCGATAAGAGCCATCGTTTGGCGAAGCAGTGAGATGAATTTTACCCATAACGCCTTGGGTTCCCTCCCCCCCTGCTTCCGCTTACCAGGTTGTGGGGGCTACTCATGACCTTCATGAGGGCCGGATGGTTGTATCCTGGTGACAGAGAAGACATGGCATTAGCTCATTAGGAGATTCATAACCAGTGACCTTTAACCTCTGACCTCAGACAGTTTAATGCATCCATTCACTGCCAAATGATTCAGTGCAGCCAGGTTATATGGATAATAGTGCTTTAGAGGAACTCTAATGTCAGAGCAGATATCAGAAGAGTAGATAATGCCCATCATCCCAAAACAGGACAGTTACACAATGACAGACCAGATCCTGCCATTACATAAAGACCATAAAAGTTATTGTGCGTGAGGCTGTATAACTAGAGGACACTCTGAACCAGTGGAACCAGAACCCTGCCCAGTTCCACCACTGGTGACATTTGCGGTCACAGTAACACAGCAAGCTCCACCAGTAAACAAAATCAAGCAAATTCCAATATTGGGGGAGGGGAGTCAACATTAACACCAAACAGGGGGCTGAGTGCGTCGAGGGGAGAAGTGAGGCAAGACCCAGGAGACCACAAGATGTGGGGAGGCGTGACCAAACAGCGGCCAGGCCGTCCACTGGCCGCTCTGGCCGATTCCCGAACCGCTCGTCCTCCAAGCATTGGGGGGTGTTTGTCAGCACTGGGTCGTCCTGGTGTCACCGTGCCACAAACACTTCCAAGCCTGCCACTGACTCCTCCTGTGCATCCCATGTAAACCCCTCTCACTGAATAAATGGGTAAGAAATTAGACATTTTGCACAACCTTCTCACACTATGTCCCTGTACCGGTGCACTTCCCCGACCCTGTTCTGCTGCAGGCAAGCGTTTTTTTTCCCCCCCTTGAGATCTTTAATACATGCATGCCCGCATGTATCCGACAGTCACCCTGGGGGAACACCCCATGGGATTCTGGGTAAATTTTCAGGAAGACAGTCAGCTCAATCCCTCAATTCAGACCCATGACGCATTAACACTGTGTCTTCAGGACCTCCCCCACCCCCAAACCCACAAGCGAAGAAATAGAGCTATAGCCCCTCCCCCTCACCAAGGATCCACAGCAGACTCCGCCACAGCCCCCCGCCCCCCCCACCCCGGCTGTTGCCGCAGCAGCACCGAGGCGTCATACCCGCTCAAGCCGGATCTGCTCGTCACGAGCCGAGAAGAGGCCGTCTGCAGCTGCGTATGACCGGCTGCAGGTCTGCGGCTGCGTATGACCGGCTGCAGGTCTGCGCACATGAGCGCTTTGCATTTTATGAAAACACACCTGCACTATAGCTCTAGTGCTGTCACACACACACACACACACACACACACACACACACTCTGGAAAAAGACCTTTATCAGCTCCCATCTTTTCCTCCCCTGAACTGGCACGTCACGGACGCCCAGATTTGTCACTGTGTGATTACTCGGCGACACAGACATCCTCCCCACGCGGACAAGCTTCCTCTGAGCCCCGGGGGCACTGCGTCAAACAGCAATTCCCAGTGCTCAGCTACACTCCACCAACTGGGAAGGGAGTGGGGGGCTCACTCCCCAGGGACATTCAAAAAGGGCCACCCCCACTTTGCATTTGTAAACCTTTAAGCAAGGAAGAGTCAGCAAGACAATGAGTATGATGTCACAGCGGAGAAAAAAATAATAATAATAAAAAAAGCACAGGATCTGGCTCATTGCTGTTCACAGGCCTGTGCGTCAAAACATCTCGGAATCGCACAGAAATACACAGCTCTACTTTCAGCATCTATTCATCAGCCTCTGCCAGCATCCCCCCCCCCCGCCTCCACTTTGGTATTTTTAGAAGGTTTCTTATCCAACTTCCGCATCTAACATGGAGTTTATTTACAAGGCGCACATTGTAAAAAGGATCAGGTTACCGTTAGCGATGGGGTGGAGGGGGGTGACGCGAGCCGCGCCGGGTGTAACACTCACCGATGGGGATGGAGGAGATCTGGGTGTACAGGTCCAGCATGCGGTTGCCGTCCACATCCACCAGATAGTTGCCCCTGCTCTCCTCATAGTTGCAGAAGAAGTGGACGGCACCCACATTCTGCAGGAAGACATGACCTGAA